TGGAATTAGTTGCCCTGACCCAAGCATTACAACTAGCCACAGGCCTCTGAATGTTTATGTGGACTCTAAGTATGTTTTCCTGACTCTTCATGCTCATGGAGCCCTGTATAAGGAAAGAGGACTCATCACATCCGGGGGTAAAGAGCATCAAGTATGGGACAGAAATACTAGAACTTTGGAAGCAGTATGGGCCCCCTCTGAAGTTGCAGTAATACACTGTAGGGGTCATCAAAAGGGAGACTCCCAGGTGGCCAAAGGCAACTGAAAAGCAGATCAAGCAGCCAGAGAGGCAGCACTTCAGCGGTCCCCACAACAGATTATGGCCCCTCTGTTCCCAGTACCACTTTCTGAATGGGACCCAATCTATACAAAGGCAGAAGAAGAATGGATGGAGACTGAACCTGGAGAGTACAGGGAAGACCGGTGGTATCAACTGCAAGATGGAATAATTGTCATTCCAGCTGCTGTAGCAACTGAATTAGTGACATAATTCTACAAGGGAACACACACATAGGCAAAACAGCCATTGAAAAGGCCCTAGAGAAACATTTTTACATTCCCAGACTACACACGCTAGCACAAGCAGCAGCCAGTAGATGTGTGGAATGCGCCAGAAACAACCCAAGACAAGGGCCTGTACCAACTCCCGGATGTACAAGCAGTAGGGGCCTTACCAATGGAAGAATTAATGGTCGATTTCACTGTTATGCCCCCTTCAGTAGGATATAAATATTTGCTGGTGGCTGTCTGCACCTATTAGGGCTGGGTGAAAGTCTGGCCTACACGAACTGAAACTACCAGAGAAGTGGTCAAATGCCTAATACAGGAAATTATACCCAGATATGGAATTCCCTCCTCCATAGGCTCAGACAATGGTCCTGCCTTCAGGAGTTAGCAACCACACTCAAGACCACTTGGAGACTACACACCGCATACAGGCCTCAAATTTCTGGAAAAGTGAAAAGAATGAACTGCCCCCTAAAGTTACAACTGCCCAAACTCTGTCAGGAAACCCAAAGGAAGTGGACTATGATGCTGCCCATAGCCTTGCTGAGAATCCGGAGTACTCCAACAAAGAGGACAAATTTGTCCCCTTTTGAAGTACTATATGGTAGGCCCCCACCCATCATTAGAGGTATCAAGGAAGACTTACACCAAATAGAAAGGGTGGTGAACTGTGAACTGTTAAAGAAATTGGGGGAGAATATGCAGGATATAGGGAAATGGGTTCAAGAGAAACTCCCCATAAGCCTGTCCACCCCATCCATCCCTTTGGACTGGAAGATGCAGTGTGGGTAAAGGAGTGGAGCGTAACCCCTTTAGGGCCCAGATGGAGAGGTCCTTACACTGTTCTGCTATTTACTCCCACAGCCATTAAAGTGGCCAAGGCGACCCCTTGGATACACCACTCCAGAGCAAAGTGAGCTGCTGATCCCACAGATTCAGGGTGAGTAAAGCAGACCCTCAAGACCCGTTAAAGCTAAAGCTGACCAGAAAAATCAGAAGGAAGAACTCCAGCCCTGCTCTCAACACATACCTAGATGCTGTTGAGTCTACGCAAGGCAGAAGAAAAGGATACATCTGACCAGAAGGAAGAACTCCAGCTCTGCTCCAGTCACACCCGGAAGCTGACTAGTCAACGCACAGCAGAAGATAGGAATATACACCGATATGATGCCTGATAAAAAATGTTTTAATAAAATTGCTGATAGCCATAATAGTAACCCTGACTAGAACAATAGGGGGCGGAGGGCAGATCATGTGACCAGTGTATCTAGACTACTAGAATAGAATCCTATACTACTAGAATGTTACTACGGCATTCTCATTATCCATTATCAATGTTAAAGCACAGTAACTGACACATGCGTACATAATGAAACAACTTATTCAATGTGCACTGTAGGGAACCAGGTAACCTGTTATGACCCCACCTATGGACCCACTAAAACCTGGTTGACCATACAGAGCTACTGCTCCACAGGCAAGCTGATAAACCCTAATAGCTAATCCCAATGCTGCAGCGAGCCTGATCCTTGATGTATTCTCTGCTATTAACCTAAACTATTCCCCCAGGAAAGGTTGTGGGGGGGGGGGGGGGGGTTAGAATGGGAAAGGGAGTACATGGCAAATTAAAAGTATCTTTGCTCAGGGAAACTAGGAAGGCTGCAACCCATGTAATAGCCATGTGGAAATATCAACCCCTAGCTGTCCAGAACCAACAGGACTGTCCTTAGCCCCTTATGATTTGGGTGGTCAGTGGTCAATTGGTGATGCTTTATCTCACTCAAACTTTCGCTATGATAGCATCAAAGGGGGGAATGTGGTAGCACCCAGATATGGCAGAGTTCCCCTTTAAACTGTAACATTTCTAACAGTTTCTGCTTGTAAGGTTTTTGGCTCATCTTCCCCCCTCCCTTATTTCCTGTGAATAATGTGTACCGGTTCGTATCTGGGATTCTTATCTGCAGCTGCTGTCCAAGGTTATTCTGTAGAGTTTAGGAAGCGCTGAAAGTATAGAAAGTGAAAGAGAAGAAATGTATGCCTTGTGACGTAATCATTGGTATATACGCTTGTAAGAAGTTTTCTTTAACTCATTTAGCAGACGAGAACATAAGCCATCTGTTGAGTCAAAACAGTGCTGTTTTTAATAAATCATTTGTTTTCCTCAAGTCCGTGTCCAGAGTTCTCTGGTTTGCCAAAATTGCTACTACACCAGGAGTTTAACTGACTTGATGCTATACTCTGATTAAAAATTATTCCTTTAATTTTTTTGAGCAGTGTATATGTAAAGCGCTGCGTTAATGGTGCTATATAAGTACCTATAATAATAAACACAGAATCTGGTGCAGCTGTGCATAGAACCCAATCAGCTTCCAGGTTTTATTGGCATAGCCAAGCTGCACTTAAGCTGGCTATACATTATACACTTTTATTTTACAATTTTCCTTTAGATTTACCAAAACACATATTATATGAGGTCAAACCTAAACAACACTTTCAATTGTATCCAAACAAGTAGGTCCTTGCACAACATAGTTGAAGGTAAATCTAAAGGAAATTGTAGAGAAAATTGTCTAATGTATGGCCGGCCTACATAGCTGATTGGTTATGAGGCACAGCTGTGCCAGGTTCTGTGTGCTCCAGTGTTAGTAAAACTCCCCATAGTTTTCACATGCGGCTCCTTGCTGTGGGGTGGCACTATTTGTATATTTGGAACAGTGTTCAGAGGCATTAAAATAATGCCCCAAGCCCAGGGCTTTTTTTCAGCGAGAGCATGAGGGAACGCAGTTACGGCACCTCCAGCACTGAATGTATTTAATGGCAAGGGGTGCTGGAGTGTGCTGCAGGGTCTACTGATGTTGGCTGCAGGGCATCTATTTCTGCGGGGGTGTCTATTGCTGCTGGGGAGGTCAATTGTTGCTGGGGTGAGTCTTATTTTGCTGGGGGAGGGTCAATTGTTCCTGGGAGGGATTTACTGTTGAGGGGAGGTATATTGTTGCTCACTGAAGGGTCCATAAATGCTGTGTTGGGAGAGATCTGTTGTTGCTGTCGGGGGGGGGGGGGGGGTGACTGTTGTTGCTGGGAATCTATTGTTGCTGTAGGAGATGTATTTTATTGTATGGATTTTGCTGGGGGGGTCAATTAATCCTGGGAGGGATCTACTGTTGAGGGGGGGGGGGACTTTTGTTGCTCCCTGCTGAAGGGTCCATTGATGCTAGCTGTAGGGAGATCTGTTGTTGCTGTAGGGGGGTCTGTTGCTGCTGGGGGTATTTTGTTGCGGGTGGTCCATTGTTGCGGGGGATCTATTTTGCTGCATGGGGAACAAATCTACTACTTTTCTTGTTATCATTTACAAACCCATACAATTTAATTAGCACCACAAAATGATATTCACTTCTGTGTTCTATTGTTGCTGAGGTGGGTATTATTTTGCTGGGGGTGTCAATTGTTCCTAGGAGGGATCTACTGTTGAGTTGGGGTCTATTGTTGCTCGCTGCTGAAGAGTCCATTGATGTTGGCTGTGGGGAGATCTGCTGTTGCTCTCTGGGGAGATCTGTTGCTGCTGGGGATCTATTGTTGTTGTAGGTTATCTATCTAACTGCATAGGGATCAATTTTACTGCTTTCCTTGTTATCATTTACAAATCCCGTACAATTTAATTAGCAGCAGAAAGTTATATTTGCTTCTGTATTCTATTGTTGCTGGTGTGGGTCCTATTTTGCTGGGAGGATCAATTGTTCCTGTGGTGGATCTACTGTTGAAAAGGGTTTATTGTTGCTCGCTGCTGATGCTTGCTGTGGGGAGATCTGTTGTTGCCCTTGGGGGTATGCCTGTTGTTGTTTGGGATCTATTGTTGCTGTAGGGGATCTATTTTACTGCTTTTCTTATCACCACAAAATGATACCTGCAACTGTATTCTTTTTAGGAGGTGGCTAGGGGGGGGCGTAACCAAGGGACGGTGCTCAAAATGGGTAGGGGGGGTGGAGACAAGGTGAGTCTCAGAAAGGGGGAGTTCCTGCACCTATTCTCCAAGAAAAAAAAGCCCTGCCCAAACCTATGCTAAAAGGAAGGCACTGGCATAAAAGCAAGCTTGCAAAAGGACGTCAAATATTTGCTCCAACAGAAGGACGTTATGCCTCCAAGTGAAATGCGCAGAAATGTAAACAAAGAAGTTCAGAGATAGACATGAGCAGCAGCTGGCAGGCATGACTCCACCCCAGCGCCCTCCAGCAGCCTATCAGCTCCTTCCTTTCACTATATCCCTCAGCACTACGCGGGCTTACAGGGGATAAAGAATAGCGCCCCCCAGTGTGCTGCGCCCGCCAGCGCATTGTACGACGGACCCGCCATACAAGCAACATGGACTCGCACACACTCCCCCAGTTGCTAGGCAACCAATTAAGATGGCTGCCGGAAATCCGTCAGCTCCGAGCTCACGAATCTGAGCCGTCATTTCCGGTGTCTGGGAGTGACGGGTCAGAAGGCGGAGAGGGAAGATGGCGGCGCCGGAGGAGCGGGAGCTGAGCCAGGAGCAGACCGAAAAACTGCTGCAGTTCCAGGTGAGAGGGCCGAGGGGAGGTCCGGAGGGGGCCCTGTGGTTTCTGAGGAGGGAGGAGAGGCCGGGCCATGGGGCTCAGCCTGGAATCTCACTAGGGGGGCACTAGAAGAGGAGTCACACAGGGCCTTAGCCGTTACTGTCCCAGGTGACCAGGCTGGCCTCCTCCATGGTAGCAGTGTGTGTTCTGTGTGTGTCCTTGCACTACGAGGACATGTGTCCAGCCAGGCACTCCATCATGGCTCCCGTGTTCCATCCATTGTACCCATCTCAGCAGATACTTGGAATTCCTTCAGCTTTGTACACCACTCAATAGTCACTTATTTGGATTAGACCCCCTCCCCCCCCCATTGATTTCTATTCGTCTTGTGAATGGTACTCCTGGTGGATACAGAGACCACTAAACCTGCAATGGGCGATCACAGGGACACAGATCCAGACCTCACTCCCCAACACACAAACCAGGGCACCCATGGCAGAGCTTTCTTCCATGGGATCACTAGGCAGGAAGTCAGCACTGTGCTGAACATGGTATGTGTTTGTATCTGTGTTACATCTTCTGTAAACTATTTTGCTCATTCAGCCGTGAACGATCTTATGTTTTGTGGCTTAAGTTTATTTTGCCTTAACTGGCTTTTTCCCCAGTTTGATCAACATGGTCTTTTTTTTTTTTTTTTATACACATCGTATTTTAGACCCAGTGATCACTGGGTCTCTGTGCTTCTCTATGCAATGCAGGCAGATCATGGTTGATAGAAGAGGCCAGCAGGGTGCTGTATATAGATTCCTGAAAAAAAACCACAGCTCTACCTCAGTCCTCCATGCAAACATTTGGATGGCTTGTGGGAGGAGTTCTACACATATCAACATTCCTTGCTGCATCGTTTTTCTAGAGTGGTGGGTGTTGCTAGTCAGACTGCCTTAAGCACCCCCCTCCCCCTTTCCGTATGTGATACTGAGCTTCCATGGTTCAAAGGACTGAAAGCCATAACATGAAAGGGGTCTGTCAGTCAGGATAGTTAAGCTGGCCATACACTTTACATTCTGATTGTACAATTTCCTTTACATTTACCAAAAACTATATCGTAGGAGGACACACCTCACTCACTCTGTATCCAATCAGGCAGGCCCTTGTTGTAGTTGATGGTAGATCTAAGCCCTGGTTCACACTGAATGCGACTTTGAAATCGCACCACACTTCATTTGCAGTTGTGTGATTTCATGTGCAGCTTGCCTGACATCTGTGCAACTTCATGCACAGGTGTCTGCGAGTCGCACACAAAATCGCAAAAATAGTGCATGAATCTTTTTTTCAAAATCGATCCAGCACCGCAAAGTCAGAATCTCACCAATTTGAACGGTTCCATAGGCACAATGGGGTTTATTTACTAAAGCTGGAGAGTCCAAAATCAGACTCCCTTCTGCATAGAAACCAATCAGCTTCTAACCTCAGCTTGTTCAATGAAGCTTTGGCAATGAAACTTGGAAGCTGATTGGTTTCTATGCAGAAGGGAGTCTGATTTTGGACTCTCCAGCTTTAGTAAATAAACCCCAATGTGTCATGCGATTTCCAAGTGGGGAAGAAATGGCTAGATCCTTGGTGGCCAACTTGTGGCCCTCCAGTGCTCAGCCTGTGGCCTTCTGTGCTCCATACCTCACTGCAGATCTGGCAAACATGGATGTTTATATTTATAGTGGAGCAGTTGCCAGCAGTCCTACATAAGGCAAACCATAGATGAGTCAAAAATCTGAAAGTTTTGTCAAGCCAAAAACTGAATTCGCTCATACGATTGTGCCATCAATTATTTTGTCTAATAAAAGTCCATCATGTTGGATCAGGCACTTTCAATTGCGGAATGAAAATTTAATTTCGCAGTTCGCAGACTAATGATGCGAAAACCGAACAATTCAAAGTTTTTGTTTGGCGTTTGCATTGTCTATAGCCTGGTTAAGTAAGAACTGAGCTTGTTAGTTGGGGAAACATTGCAGTGCTAACAGACTGGCACTTACTACTGTGTAAGCAAGCCATGGAAACAGTCAGGTTTGCTTATCACACCACAAGCACTTATCAGCTGCTGTTCTCTTAGGCCACTTCACCCCCTGCCAACCCCCCCATCCCCGACCCTGTTCCCCCTGTCAGACTCCTCCTCTCCTGGTCTTCTCCCCTCAGTCTAAGTGCTCTGCTCTATTGCTCCTGTGTTTACCCCCCCTCCCCCACCTGATCATTCCTGGCCATCTGTGTCCCTGTCAGACCACTCCTTTCTCTTCCTTGACACACACAGCAGATTGCTGGAATTTATAGGTTTGGTTTACCTTCAGCCCAATTTTTTTTATAATTTTATGAATGGGTGTGAAGGTAAACAAAGGCATTCATGTGAATGTTGGTAAGTGTAATGAGGACAATGGTGACTGCTATGAATGGATTTGTTTACAAACACAATTCAGAACGAAATGTAAAAAAAAAAAAACAAACAATAATAAAATGGATACTTTTTAGATAAAATAATTGTCTCCTTTCCAGTTTTTGGTGTATTTTTTATAGGTCAAAATAGCAACTTTAAATATTCGAAGACATTAAGACCCCAGTTACACTGGATGAAAATTTTCATGTGATTTGCGTGCCATGCGACTTGCAAATTGGATGCCAAATCGCACCCTATTGTCCGCAATCCGAGCGGTCATATTGGTCTGGTCCTGATTTGGTCAGAGTCACACTCATTTCTAAAGTAGTACATGTACTACTTTTGGTGTGATTTTCATAGACATCTGTATCGGATGTCTTGCAAATCACACCTGAAATCGGCACGTCATCCGACTTTGAAATCGTGTGGCTTCACTGTAAGTCGAAGGATTTCAGTGTGGGGTTTTGATGTGAGCGGGGGGTAACAGAAGCATGTGACTAGTGTTTAAACTGCAAAAGTTTTTATGGCCCATTTTAGTAACCTTTTTTTTTTCCACTAGTTTATTAACTGTTTCTAATGACAAAATACACTAACCATTTGACGACCTGTGTTGTACCCATATGTTGCTGGATTTTAAGTTGTTACACTTGGATGATTTCTGCAGCCACAGGAATAATCCTGGTATTGTTTTTTAGAGCCAATGGTTGGCTTTTTTTTTGTAAAAGCAATCCTAGGGGCTAATTAGCTGTTTGATTGCTCTTACATGTAGCAGGAAGTGAATGTCCCAATTTACTAAAGCTGGCCATGCACTATGCTATATTTTGTTCAATGTCTGCTCAATTTTCTTTAGATTTACCTTCAACTGTGTAGTGCAAGGGCCTGCCTAATTGGATACAACTGAAAGTGTTGTTTGGGTTTGACCTCATATTATATGGTTTTTGGTAAATCTAAAGGAAAAATCTAAAGAAAATTGTATAATGTATGGCCAGCCTAAGTTGACTCCTGTCACAGGGAAAATATATAGGCTCTTTGCCGGACTGATGCTAAATATACAGCCTTCTGACTTCATGCCTGCATGACATGCTGGCCCTTTTCAACACGCTGACATTGAAAAAAGTATGCAGAAGCACTGAGTTAATTTGTTGCATGCTTGTTCCAGATCAGTGACTCCTAATAATTGAAACCTAAGGGTCCGTGACACAGCCAGGGAACTAGCATTTTCACAGAAAGGTTAGCGCTGCCTGTATCTCCTTCTGGTGTACTGTCACCAGCAAGTGTACATCAGAATCAAAGTTAGAGGGACTACTGGCAGCTAGCTGGGTTCTGCTGCCTGCACACATGTTGACATAAAACAGGCTAACAGGAAGAGAGAGTTCCTCTGCCCCCCCTGCTCCTTCATGGTCCAGCCATAGGCAGGTTGTACTGTTGAACTGCATTAGGGGAAAAGTGATAACACCAAATGGTTTGTGCTACCAGACAGGGATGTGTGAATGTGAGGAGTGAGTAGAGAAAATAAATTCTTTTGGGTGTAAAATAGTTCCTGAGTATGCATTACAACTGTTTATTTAGCTGTTTACATCAGGAGAATTTCAGTCTCAACGCAGGTTAGTTTATAGTGTGAGAACAGTTGAGCTCCCAAAATATTACCCCTTACTAATTTCATTTCGGTTTCTAAGGCTGGGACAGGTGCAGATTGGCTAATCTGCTATGCCTGGAAACCCAGAATCATGTATTGTCTGTGCCTGCTCTGTGTTTTAGGAAACCTGTGCAAATAGAAGCAAGTAAGCTGTCTTTGCTGATCAAGGCTATTTACCTTGTTGTACCTGGAACAAATCTGCAGATCAGGAGCACTGAGTTTACTCTGACTTCACAGGGTGCATGGTTGTTCCTTCTTTGTTACTTAAAATGTATTTAAGGTAGAGTCAGCCAGACAAGTAGTGTGTTTTTATTCTTTACAGGATAAGTTCACCACATTTTTCGGGTGGAACATGTAACATGTTCCCATAGCCGCAGGCTATGTTATGTGTTATTGTGAATGAGTGCCTACAAGTCCCAACATCCTTAGCGGCTGTCGGCTTGTAGCTTTCAATGTACTACCACGGCGCTGTGGAGCACTGTGGCAGTTAATGGAAGCTTCCTGTCAGTATATCTGCTTGCTTGTACAACCCGCAGGGCAAGCAGATATTCTGACAGGTCTGCAGGAGACCTGCATGGCATCAGCGATCTACTGATTGCTGGTGCTATGCTTTACAGGCTGTTTTGGACAAAAATAATAAACGCGCATTTTTTTTTTTTACCTGCAAAAAAATGTGCATTTATTATTTTTGTCCAAAATGGGAACTTATCCTTTAAATATCATTGTGAGCCTCCAAGATTACCACTGCTTTGCTAAAGAAGCTGAGGGTAAAGGTGATGGACTGGCCAAGCATGTCTCCAGACCTAAACCCTATTGAGTATCTGTGGGGCATCCTCAAACGGAAGGTGGAGGAGCGCAAGGTCTCTAACATACACCAGCTCCGTGATGCCATGGATGAGTGGAAGAGGACTCCAGTGGTAAGCTATGAAGCTCTGGTGAACTCCATGCCCAAGAGGGTTAAGGCAG